TCTCTCCTCTCTGCTTTCATCACTAATCCCCTACTAGCGGCGGAAAGGGGACATTCGCAAGCGCTTCCCGTGCAAGCATTGAATTTCCAGCGTTAGTAGGGGATTAGTATCATTTCCCGACTCCGAGCCGATGCGTTTTCATGGCTCATCCCCTATAGCGACGGATTTCAGATCTTGCCATTCGAGCACTGAATTTCCAGCCTTAGAGGGGATTAGTAGCAAAAACACACATTCGCCGCCTCCGGAACGGTGCGTATCGCTTGCGAACGCTTGCGGACGCTCCGCACGGACTTCGCGTCAACTCCCTACAACCCTCAGGCCCCCAACCTCTAAACGAGAACCCTTCTGCTGCGCATTCGGGAAAAACCTGATCGAACCGTAATCGGCGTCGTACGGGTCGCGCAGCGCACAACAAATCCCGAAATCGCTCGGCACTGGGCCTCCCATGTTGCAGAGTGAGACCTCGGATGCCGCTTCAGGACCCAGCCACTAAGTTCCGCTCTGGTGATTGGCCTCAGGTCCTGGATTGGGGCCGGCCACCTCCATGGTCCCACACTACAACCCCATGCCCGGCCAACGGCATACAAGCCAGGCTGATGAATCAAAACTGGACACGCCGTGACTTGTTGGTAGGGTCGGTGGCATTCAGAAACGGATTCAGAGCAGAGGCCTCCCGTTCTCAGCAATCAGCGAGAGCATTGGGAACTTATGAACCATTGTGGCATATGCTCCCAATATATATATATATATGTGTGTGTGTGTGTGTGTGCAAGAAGACAGACTCTTAGCACGTGTCGCGTAACGTGTCAAACAGCCTGACACCTCTCCTTTCCTCTCACTCTGCTCTCTCTCCTGTCTTTCCCCTCTCCTCTTTCTCCTCTCTCTCCTCTCTCTTCTCTCTCCTCTCCTCGCTCAGGCTTTCAGACGCAAGCAATGCGAGCATTGAATTTCCAGCGCTAGTAGGGGATTAGTAACAAAAACGCACGTTCGTCGCCTCCGGAATGGTGCGTTTTCATTGCTAATCCCCTAGTACTGGCGCTTTTTGGACGCTTTCGGTCGTAAGCAATGCGAGCATTGAATTTCAAGCGTTAGTAGGGGATTAGTAGCAAAAAACACATTCGCCGCCTCCGGAACGCGGCGTTTTCATGGCTAATCCCCTACTATGCTGGCGCTTTTGGACGGTTTCGGACGCAAGCAATGCGAGCATTGAATTTCCAGCTTTATTAGCAATAACACACAGTCGCCGCCTCCGGAACGGTGCGTTTTCATGGCTAATCCCCTACTACTGGCGCGTTTTGGACGCTTGCGGGCGCGGGCGCTCGCGAACGCTTGCGAACCCTTGCGAACGCTTGCGAACCCTTGCGAACGCTTGCGAACGCTTGCGAACGCTTGCGAACGCTTGCAGGCGCTGCGCACGGATTTCGCATCAACTCCCTAACCCCCAGAGCTCTTCGTGCAGTCGGGATGCATCGCAGTTTTTCGGCACTTGTCCAATCATCAAGGAACAGCGCGTTTCCTTCTGACTGGAACGAGACACACCATTGCATGTCTGCCAAGCATTAACTTAAGCTAGAGCATGACATCATCAAATCATCTCCCCAAGCAATTTCTAGCTAGGAAAATAGAACGTCGCCTGACCACGGAGGAGTCGCCCTTCGTCAATTTCCAAGTAGTTCCTCACTTCCTGGCGACGTTCGCAGCGTTTAGTCGCGTTGTACATGCAAAGAAGTCCCGCTTCAGCCACTCCTGTGCGTCTGACGGTCGCCGACTGGAAATCCGGCCAGGCTCCCAATATCCATAACCGCCGCGACCTTGATTGCAAACAGTCTTCCAAGATTTGCAGACCTGCGAAGCTCCAGGTGAACCACAAAGCTTCTCAGTCACCCTATACAGGCAAATCGCACCCCGGAGCAACAGAATATAACAGAATCCTATGGAGTCTTCGGACCGGCCCCCCGCAACAGAGAAAACAGTTTTATAGCCAGGAGAACTTCCGGAGGCATGCAAGGCAATGGAGTCCCCAATTGTTGGTGGCGACCTGTGCTGCATCGCGACTCAGCTGTCGCTGTTGTTGCTGTGCTCCACGAATTGCTGCAGTCTTCGGCGGACTGCGGGTTTCACATGGTTTCACATTTAGGAAGAACGGACATACTCAGCCGTCAGAACTCGACATGTTCCCTTTCTGCGTTCTCAGTCAGCATCCTTATCTGGTTGCATGGTTTCCAGGTGACTTGACTTGCAAAACTTTCAGGCACAGTGTTCTGCCTCTTTGCCGTGCACTCCCGCTCCGCGGTATGCATAACAGTCACGGCGCACCTCCAAAGACTTCCGTGGGTGTCCAAGTAGTCTTGTAGCGCCAGGGCTGCTTTGGATTCAAAGAAACAGACACGCAGTGCTCCTGGAGACATTGGTTGTGGATGCCGTGTCATAGAATGCCACCAGCATGTCTCTAGGATATGAGTCGTCCCAGCGAGACCCCCTCCTGTTTCGCGGAGACGCGTGAGGTCAAGCTGTGCTACCTCTCCGAAGAGACCGAAGACCCTTCCGCACTCCTGCAGAAACAGCATGGCCAGCTGCATTATACTAAGCAACTATCCTCGATAGCAAGCGTCGGCATGCGGCGGCGGCAGCCTCATTGAATCAAGACAGCTGATATGTTGAAGCTCCTCCATTGTGACCTGCTGGGCTAGGCCGGCTTCAAGTTGAACCGTCACTTCAAGTTCACCTGGCAGGCAGGGCCCTGAGAAAGGATTCGTGTAGAATTCAAAAGCCTGGCAACCAGGATGGAGAGCGCACCGACCAGCGAAAAAAACAACTCTAGGACCGGATATCCCACATGAATAATGTCTTGGCTTGTGATTCTGGGGTATGTAGCGAGCGAAGGCACAATCAGTCTAGTGGATGGTGATTGACGGGCGGATGTGTGAGTTGTGTTCGGGAGTGGAGGTGTCAGTGTCGGTCATTTGCTCCATTCAAGCACAACGACAACGACGGCAGCCACAATTTTCAATTGGATGCTGCGCGAGCGTGCTCTGCGCGTGGTGGGCGTATTGCCGAACCCTGCACTCATGTGAAACTGGGATAAGCTGACTCAGTATTCAAAATTAAAGAGTTGACACAAAGAAGGCATGACTACAAGTTAAATGGCAAGACTGACTCATTGATGCTTGGTCGACTTCCGTCACCTTCAATTTGAGCCAACGTGTGCGATGCTCACGAACCAAGGCTTGATGGGTCGCACTCAGCGTCTGCAGGCGACAGTTGAGCCGGGTCCCTGAGTGCCAATGTAGTGGCGTCTCACACCTGGTCACTCTCAGATGATGGTGATGGGCCGTAACGCACGGAGCAAACCGCTACACCTGTGACATTGCCGGCGCACAGCGCAAGTTGCGGCTGTACGCGTCGGACTCTTGCTGTACGCCATCTTCCGATACGGAGGCATGTCTACCTGTTCATAAGTTCATACCAAGACGCCTGAAGCTGCTGTTTTTCGACAAGGCAGCAAGTCACTGATCGCGCAACATCTCGCCCTGCACAAAAGCGCTAACAGGTGACGAAACATGAAAGACGACAGCTGTCAGCAGTCGTGCAGTGGCTGGAAAAAAATGGAATCCTGAACTTGGCGAAAATAAGCTAATCCCCCCTAACGACGACTGGTGAGCCATGCACACTGCTGCGGAAAGTGTGAAAGGACTTGTTGTGTTAGGGCTGTGCCCAGATGGAATAAGGCTGTGCCACGGCATTGATTCAGCGGCGGCCATACGAGCGACGCTCTTGCCATCGCCACGCCTCCTCCTCCTCGGGGTACTGGTCCTCTTCGGCGGCGTCCTCGTAGCCTTGGTGCTTGTTGGCCTGCGCTGGAGCCCCGCAATGCTGTTGGGCCAATTGTGGCGACCCGAGAAAGATGTAGCCTTGAGGAGGAGCTCTGCGTCGTGAACTATGCGGACCCGTAGGTCTGGGTATTTGCAGCGGATCATCCTGGAATAGAGCCCCGCCGACTTTGAGGTATGATTGTACACACTCAAGACAGTAGGAGCCACAAGGTCCAAGGATTTGTAATCCTTCTCGAAGAGGCGCTTCATGTCGTCATGTTCCCACAACTTGGCAAAGAGCGCCCCGACCAAGCCGTGAATCTTAGTTGGAGTTGCAAGCTCCACGTAGTCAGCATTGTGGCCTGTGGCAATGGTGACACGTCCGTCTTTTGTCAAGACTTGGCGAACTGTCATGGCCCTGTCCCATGTCAGACCTGACTGGGTCTTGACTTTCTCGATGGACCGGAATAGACTGGGGAATTTAGAGAGCGCAGCGACTGTGGAGTCCCACAAAGGCCGTTGCCAGTCCTCCGATGACCACAAGGGACCCAGGACGTTGAATCCTGCCAGAGCTTTTATATCCAATCCTGCAATGCTGGAGTTTGAAGTTGGCGAGTGACAATTTTCCGGGTAGGGAGAGCATTATCATCTGGAATGTCCTGGGTAATGTATGGAACCTGGGCTGAGTTGGCCTTGGGCGGCTCATACGGCGGTGGGGCCTAGGCAGCGGAGGGGGAGTGTGTTTGTGCTGTCAAAGGTGGTGGTTTGGGAGGTGTTTTGGGAAGGAGACTCAACGGCAGGGACCGAGATAGGAGTGGGGGGATTTGGCGCAGCCGGGTGTGAGCAGGGGCATGTGACAAAGCTGGAGGATCAGAAGGTTCCTCGGGCGTCGAACTGATGTCATGTCTACAATGCGGCTTCACTCCCATGCCAGTATTGAAAATGACATGCTTGCCCTTGCACTTGCAAATGCCACAACATAGCCAGCCAGTCCTCTCAGGATTAATTCCAGCACTTCTTGGGAGAGGTCGCCTTGATAGTATTGTGAGGCTTTGAGCAAAGGGATTGTCCCGGATGTTTGCTTCGACATTCCTCCGCAGGTGATAACAGATAGCCTTCCGGGCTCTTAAGCTGCGGCCGCCCAGGACGGAGAAGCTTCAAAGTCTTGAACGCCACATGCTGATCTCTGTCCTCCATCGCCTGATCGACCTCCGCCTAAAAAGCGCGCACTCGATCTTTCTGAGCTTGCTTCACCGCTTGCGCGCTATCTGATGCGCCGATTGCTGCATCGGTGCTAGGCGGCTGTGCCGAGTAGGAGGAGTGCGGCTGTGCTGGCAGCGTGTTCACACACCGAGCTTGGCTTTGGCTGTCAAGTCGCGCTGGCACTGGTTTGCTGTGTGTTGGCTTTGGCCACCCACATGCGCCTGGTGGCAGCTTCCAGTGGCGGTGGCTGTGCCCGGGGCGATCTCGGAAAGAAGTGCTGAACTGCCTCGGTGAGAATCCCAAGATTCCGGATCGGCATTGTCAGCCATGCTTTCCCGTACCCATTGCTGCATGGCTTGTGCATTGTGGTCGTTTGACCGGACCGCCTGCTGCAAAGCGACGTTGTCATAAATGACTGACTGAGGCCGCGTTTGAGGTGGCAACCAATGCCGCATGGTGGGTATACAAGCTCGCACAGGCAAGTTCCACTTTTCCAGCTACCCAAATAGGAGTTTGCAAGGGGACTTGAAAATGAAATCAACCTGAGTGCGGGCATCATCCTGTTCGTAGGTGAAGCACGGTCGGCAGTGCCAAGTGTTGAGCGCGACCAGGCGAAGCCTGCTCACCAAGTTTGTCAAGTTGGCCTCGTCTGGCCTCGGGTCTGCCGGCGGTGCCGTTCTGGAGCCTACAAGCGACTGTGTCGGAGTCAAAGATGTGTTGAAGTCCCCAGCCACTATGAGAGAGTCCCGCTGTGGCACTTGCTTCACGGCCTTGGTCAAGGCAGATAAGACGCCGGCTCTATCGCTGCGGTGGTCTTGAAGACGACCACACGTGTTGATAAATGGCCCCAGCCCAGTAAGCTCTCACCTCCAATAAGACCATGAGGCCATCCGCTGCTGTTGTGGAAGGGTTTACTTGGAAAACCCTTCTCTTGCTTGCGGCCTCGTCTGCCAGCCCGCGCTTGCTTGGAGTTGGAAAACGCGCACTGGGCGGCTTTGCTGTCCAGCCCGCCTGGAAGTGGGAGCCTGCTGAGGCCGCACACCCTGGTGGGCTGGTGAGCAGTTACCTGTACGCCTGAGCAGCTGCGGGGTGAGGGGCTGACCGCCGTAAGTCACGGTTGCATGGTTCGCAAAAATGGAAAATTCTGCGAGTGCACTGGAAGCAACGCCATCCGCTGTTTTCGCTACAAGGTAGCTCTCTCTCCACTGCGCGGTAAGTGGGAAACCCTACCGCCTCCCCAGTGTGACAATGTCTTAGACAGAGACTGGGTCCAGGAATTGGGACGTGGCGGATCCAGAAAGGCTCAGCATAGGTGGCACATGGCTCAAAGTGGGGCCAACCCACCTTACGGTTAAGAAGAGAGGCCTGGTAGGGACCTCTAGAGGTTGAAGCCCATTCGAAAGCCACGCGAGCTACCCTGCCAGTCTGGTCCACAACGACAGCGACAACAACAACCACAACCACAACCACAACAACAACAACAACACCAACACCAACAGCTTTCAATTGAACGCTACGCGAGCTGCGCTTGGCGGGCATATTCCCTGTCAGGCACTCATGTGAGACTTGCTGCAAACTGACTTTATGCTCAGGTTTGAGATTGGGAACATCGTTGAAGCATGATCTATGGTTGACCAGCGCGCAGAAAATTATCCTCCGACGCCCTCAGTGTAAGTCATTGCGTTCAATACTCAGGAACTGGTAGTCAGTTTGGTCGTACTCCGAGTTCCCGTCCAGTTACATCCCACACTAGGTAACTCCTGACTCCCGCGCACGCCGGCACAACATTTCTGCGCGCCGGCTCCCAACAGCCCTCTAACAGCAGGCCCCGATGGCGTGATGCGGTGTGGTGTGGCGCGGCGTAGTGGTGTGGCATGGTGGTGTTGCGTGGCGGTGTTGTGGTGTTGCGGTGGCATGGTGTGGCGTGTCGTGGTGCGCATGGTATAGAGTGATGCGGTTTGCGGCGCGGCGGTGTTGCGATGTTGCGATGTTGCGGGGAGGTGTCGGCGGAGGTGGGCACGGGGCGGTGGTGGTGGGTGGGGCGGGATAGCTCAAAGAAAAGTACGAACCCCACAATGATGTGGGAAAATAACAGAAACCACATGCACGTGCACTGAGCACACCTCTTTCCAGCTGCTGTGCTGTGTCGCCATGGCCGTGTCCCTCCATGAAACCATGGGCTGTATCCTTGAATCAGGTAAAGTAGAAAGCAGATGAATGCCTAGTGCTGTGCAAGAGCTTGTGACTTGCATAGCAAGACATGAGCAGTACGACACGTGCATCAATTCGTTGGTGTACCAGCTGAGCACCCCTCCCTCCATCCTGCCGTGGCTTGGCCCAGGATTACCCTCTTAAGTGACTCTGACAAGCAATCTCGTGGCGGTGCAGCATTTCTCTGATCAGCCACGGCAGGATCATGGAGCCGTCAGAAGAAGCTGTACAGGTTGGCTACTAAAGCCACTGACACCACGAGCCGGTCGGATGGCACACAAAGTGTGAGCAGTGCTTCCCGTGAACATGAGCTCCAGGACAGAGAAATGCTTGGCTTGTGGGCTGATGCAAGCTCGAGCCGCTAAAGCGAGAGCCTGAATGTCCATGTCGGAGAATTCCGCCTGAGCAGGCCGAGTTGATGATTGGCATGCGGAGCCTTTGCCTTC